TTAGGCAAATATAACTGAAAACCCTGTCGTGGGGCCACATTGGACAAGTCTTCAGAGGCTCCCACAAATCTGAAACGAAAGAAAAAAAGAAAAAGAACGCAGAAATGAAGGTTACTGCAGCTGGTAAGTGGAGTCTCATTTCCACAGTTGCCGAAAGAAGACATATAATGATATATCACTACCTTCACACTTGGGGATAGTTATTCAGAAAGTGTTTTTTTCCGACCGATTGGAATGAAATTCGAAGTCGGCTGTAAAGTGGTCTCGGCTTACCCTGCTTACGGAGTTACGTTACGTGTAGGGCATGACCTAGTTACTATCCTTGGGTAGTTGAAATGCATTAGAAACCTGACTTTACTGATGGTTATTATGTGGATTAACTGAATAAGGACAATAAATTATTTTGTGTAGACTTTGTTAGCTTAAGATGTGTATAAGAGACAGGGTAGCCAATGCAACAGGTCGAAATTTATTTGAGTCAGTTCTTGCAAAACCATCCATAGCTCTACTAACCCCACCATCTCTGCCTACCTACTTCAGCATTTGTCACAACTCCTCAACACTGGATCTAACCTTCATAGCAGCTGACCTTGTCCCTTTATCAACAATTTACACTGAGGATGACATGGGTAGTGACCACTATTCAGTGGTCACCCACATTAGAATCTGTCTCTTATACACATCTAGATGTGTATAAGAGACAGCACCATGATACTTTGCTGGTCTACTAACTCTACCTACTTAGTATAGCCTATGACTTGAATTATTGAAATTGAACTTGAAAGAGAATCTAAAAAACTCTCTGCTTTGCCACTACTATGTTAAATAAATGGTATAAATTGATTGCTTGATTCCAAATGAAAGTGAAAAAGCTAGGAAGTAAGAATTTTTTCCTTAATTCAATTTGTATATCCAAATATGGACCAATTGAATATTTTTGGACATTATTTTAACCATCATTTCTAGTTTTCCCATAGGGCATAGGCCAATTTGAAAGATTTTAGTGGAGCGCCAAAAGAGAGCTCTTATTGTAGGCTAGCCCAGCCTCTGCCCAGGCATGGAATTGGAATATAGTATCTACTTCTTGACAAGCTGCGTCTGGATTTTTCAAGCCACGGTTTCATGGGTTTGTTAGCCTTAATTCCATTTCTTTGAGCAGTGAATTCTGTATATCACCCATTAAAAGCCATTTACAAAGTGAAAGTTGCATGCATGTGTTACCCCAAAAATCAAATTTAACCCTAAAAACGGTCTGATCATACAGCTACACTAACATTTGTCTACACTTAAGTCCCAGTCTGTAGAGTATGGTAAAACATAGATCAAGGTTCTGTTATTCTGCCCTAAAGACACCAAGGCACCATCAAAACGGACGGTGGACAAATATGTTTGCAGTGATCAATACTTACACACCCACTTTACGACCAATGTAGTAGATGCCTGATGATTGACACAGATGCTGAGATGCACACATTTTACGATCAATGTGGCCAATGCCCCATGATCGGTTCTGATGCTTGCGCTTTGCGATCGATGGGGCCAATGCCTGATGATCAACACTTTCACATGCGCTTTACAACCAATGTAATTGATCTTGATGATTGACAATTTGACATGCCCAATGATTGATTCTGATGCTTGTGCTTTGCTATTGATGCAGCCAATGCCTGATGATCAACACTTACACACCCACTTTATGACCAATGCAGTCTATGCCTGATGATCAACATGGATGCATGCATTTTACGATCAATGTGACATAACACAACATAAGAACAAAACACATTAAAACATAACAAATATCACAATACTACACATTGTGACATAATAGAATATACTGTAATAAAACATAACATCACATGTTATAACATAACATAACATGAAAGAACACATTGTAACAACATAACACATCATGATATAAGTTAACACTACAGCAATCCCTTGATTAGCACGGTTTTGAATACCGCGGTTTTGATTAACGCGGAAAAAAAATTTGCAACCTACCCTTAATCTACGCGGTGCCAGTTTTGATTAGCGTGACTTTTTTTTCACAACGCATCGTTTTCCTGCCTCTAGCCAGAGGTGACTATCTACACGTCCTAGGCTTCATGTACGGCATACATGCACGGCCTGCACACACAAGAGGCAATACGCACTACCTACACACGCACGCCTATACGTCAGATGCTGCATGTAGCTAGGCTACGTGTATCGCAGCACGCAACAGGAAAACTAAGACGAGGAAAGTCGCGCGAGAATTTCTAACCTAAAATACGAGAAAACGTGTCAAGGCACTTAAAAAAATCAGTGACACTATGTTCAAATTGTGTCCAAGTTTTTGCTCTGGTATGTGTGTCATCCTGACCCAGTTTAGCCCGTAAAAACAGCGCCTAAGTGCGACATAGCCGTGGGGACAGCACCCCTCACCCCACGCCTGGTCCTCCCGCCGTGGGGACACCACCCCTCACCCCAAGTGGGGTAAGGGGTGCAGCTCCCCACTCACCTGACACAATCTTCTGTCCAGTCTCCGTCGTCCCACATGCTCTACGAGCTACTCAAGGAGTTGCCGTTAACTGCGCGCCTGTATACACGCACGGCGACCAACACGCACGGCGAGCAACACGCACGGCGACCAACACGCACGGCGACCAACACGCACGGCGACCAACACGCACGGCGACCAACACGCACGGCGACCAACACGCACGGCGAC